CTATTTCCTGCAAAACCAAGTTATGCATATAATCCAATATGTATGTGTCAAGATCGTACCATGCTTGGAATCTTGTATCATATTATTATCTCACACATATATATATACAACAAGGCCTAAGGAAATAAAAGGCAATACTTGCCAAGCAAGATATCTATCTACTAGAAAATATACAATCCTATCTATACCAAAATAATACCAATATTCCAATATTATATTAACATATTAACACCCCCCCCTCAAGTTGGAGCATGAGGATTTCGAATGCCCAACTTGCTAAGGAAATGATCAAACTCGCGCTTGCCTAAGGCCTTCGTAAAAATATCGGCGAGTTGCGAATGAGTGGAGACATGAGATGCAGAGATGAGACCCTGGACTAGTGCATCCCGAAGAAAGTGGCAGTCCACCTCAATGTGTTTGGTGCGCTCATGGAAAACGGGATTGGCCGCAATGTGTAGAGCAGCTTGACTATCACAATGAAGATGCATGGGCTGAGAATGATTAACACCAAGACTTTGAAGTAAACCCTTCAGCCACTTTAATTCACATGTAAGTGTAGCCATGGCACGGTATTCGGCCTCAGCGGAGGAACGAGCGACCGTGTGCTGCTTCTTGGTCCGCCAAGAGAGAGGTGAGTTACCAAGTTGGACAAACCAACCGGAAAGTGACCGACGAGTAGTAGGGCAGGTTGCCCAATCAGAATCACACCAGCCATAAAGTTGTAAGTCACAATCGGTCCGAAGAAGGATACCTTGGCCAGGAGTACCCTTCAAGTAACGAACAACTCGCAGGGCAGCATCCCAGTGAGCCTCACGAGGCTGGTGCATGAACTGAGAAAGCACGTGCACCGCATAGGAGAGATCAGGCCGAGTAACCGCCAAGTAGATCAGACGGCCCACCAAGCGTCTGTATTTCTCTGGGTCAGAAAACAAAGGACCATCCGCCAAAGGAAGTTGATGGTTTTGTTCCATTGGAAAATCCGCCGGTTTCCCGCCTAATAGACCAGTCTCGGCCACAATGTCAAGCGCATATTTGCGCTGGCACAAAAATATGCCAGAAGAATTCCGAGCGACCTCAATGCCAAGAAAATATTTGAGAATGCCGAGATCCTTCATATGAAAGCACTGACCCAAATAATCCTTAAAGGTCGCAATAGTGGCTGGGTCACTTCCAGAGATAATCAAGTCATCAACATAAACGAGAACCTGTAAATCCATACCGTCCCGATGGAGAGTAAATAAAGAATAATCTGAAAGAGACTGTTTGAAACCATAATGCGTAAGAGCAGTGCCAAGCTTGGCGAACCAACACCGAGGAGCTTGTTTTAAGCCATAAAGAGAACGTCTGAGTTTGCAGAAATCACCAGAGCGTGGAGAGGAAAAACCGGGAGGAAGTTTCATGTAGACCTCCTCTTGCAGATCACCGTGCAAGAAGGCATTGTGAACATCCATCTGATGAACTTCCCAACGTCGGGCTGCTGCAACGGCCAAAAACGTACGAACAGTGACCATCTTAGCAACGGGCGCAAAGGTCTCCTCATAGTCAATCCCTTCAATTTGACGATTACCAAGAACTACCAATCGAGCCTTATACCGCTCAACTGTGCCATCAGAGTGATACTTGATGCGGAAGATCCACTTGCACCCAATAGCATGTTTACCCTCAGGAAGGGATACGACATCCCAAGTATGATTGGCTTCCAATGCTTTGATCTCGAGCTGCATGGCAGAACGCCAACGACTGTCCCGAACTGCCTCAGAGTAAGATTTAGGTTCGGTAGAGGAAGCTATAGCCGCTAAGAATGTCTTATGTCCCGGCGAGAAGGAATCACAAGAAACATAATGAGCAATAGGGTACAGAGTACCTGAGGAGGATGACGGAACCGAGGAGTTGGCAAGTGAAAGCGAAGGACAAATAGTGTGAGAAACGTAATCCGTGAGTCGAGAAGAACGATGCTTGACCCGATGACCGCGACCAAGTAGCTCAACCTGGGAGTTTTCAGTGGTGCTCCCTCTATTTTCTTCAGTAGCAAAATTCCCAGAAGAAGATGGGGTAGGTCCACTAGATACAGTCGGACCCCCCCTATCCTCCTCGCTAGCAGAATTCCCGAAACTAGACGGAGCAGGGCATCTAGACACAACCGGGGTCGCATCATCATCGTCCGTCACAACAGGCCAAGTGTCAATATGAGCAGGAGGCGACGAAGGAGAAAATGACGCCATATAAGGAAACTCAGACTCGCAGAATACCACGTCACGAGAAACGAAGAGAGACTTCGTCTCTAAGTCAAAAACACACCACCCTTTCTGACCAGCCGGGTAACCCACGAAAATACATTTTCTACTTCGACTCGCAAACTTGTCGCCATGACGATTTTGATTATGGACGTAGCACAAACAACCAAAGACACGAATATGAGTATAGGACGGAGGCCGATCATATAAGATTTCATAAGGAGTCTTGCCAGACAGAACAGGAGTGGGAGTACGATTTATCAAATAGCCTGCAGTAAGCACACAGTGACCCCAGAATTCAAGGGGAAGTTGGGCTTGGAAGCGCAGGGCCCGAGCAATATTAAGAATATGTTGATGTTTACGCTCAACCCGCCCATTTTGTTGAGGGGATCCGACGCAAGAGGTTTCGTGTATAATGCCGTTGGTACGAAAATAATCCCGAAGACAAGTGAATTCAGTACCATTGTCACTACGGAACACCTTAACTAAGGCACCGAATTGTCTTTTCACCAAAGCAAAGAAAGCAAGCAAAGTATTAGAAACGGCAGTTTTATCATTCAATAAATAAATCCATGTAGCACGAGAATAATCGTCAATGATAATTAAAAAATACCGTGCTCCATTAAAGGCGGGAACGCGATATGGACCCCACAAGTCACAATGTATCATATCAAAACAAGCACTGCTAACACTACGACTAACAGGAAAGCTAGCCCGAGAGTGTTTAGCTCGAAAACATATATCACAAGCTTTATTGGAAACCGAAGAACTGGAGCTAACAAAAGGTAACTGAACTAAAACTGAGGACGAAGGATGACCCATTCGTCGATGCCATAAATCCGGGGAGATTGTCTTTACTCGAGTAGCTGCCGCAGTGACTGCCTCTCGAAAGAAATAAAGTCCCCCCAACTGCTCACCCGCTCCAATCACCATCTTCGAAGTTAGGTCCTGAATTACGCAAAATTTATGAGAAAATATAGCAATACACCCAGAATGTTCCAATAGCTGAGAAAGAGAAATCAGGCTGCACCGAAGGCTAGGAACATAAAGTACATCATAAAGAGTAATAAAAGAACCAAGAGTGACGGTTCCGGCCTGGCGAGAAGTAGTAAGTGTGCCATTAGGCAACTGAACCGAGCGTGGTGGTATATCACGAATATCAGTGAAAGAATCTCGATAACCCGTCATGTGATGTGTAGCACCACAATCATACATCCAATCAATAAAACTACGCTTACCAGAAAGCGGAGTATTTGTGCGAGCAGAATTGACAAGGTGGAGGAGCGACTCCCATTGAGCATTGGACAATCCGGAAATAGCAGCCCGGTCGGTGTCATTTAACGGAGAACCACTAGAAAAATTTGAAGAGCCATTATCAATTGCCGTATTTACCTTTGCTTGGGGTCCACGGCCGTTCCGTCCACGACCGCCT